TTTTTTGTTTGATTAAATCTACTTCATGTTGGTTTGTCAGTAGTTATGTATGGTTGAAATTATTTTTATTGCTTTACAACTGGAGTTTTGTGAAGTTTGAAATTAAATATGATATTTATCTTTCAAAATTTTTATAATTCAAAACTATAAAAGAGAAATTATTAAAATTGTCATTCAAATGCTGTTTTACTGATTAATTTAGATAACAATTAATATTTTTCATTGAATTTCAAATTTTAGTCTTTTGAATTATATCAAAAGATATATAATAAAAATAAACATATGAAAAAGATAAATATATATATATATATACACAAACACAAACACACACACATACATACACTATGGGGTTGTGCTGCATAGTGCCAAAATTGCCACTTGGCAATATTTTTATTAAAATAATGATAAAAACCTTAGCCTACTTATTTTGCCATTCAGAGTGAAATTCAACTGATGTTGAGAGCAAAAGGCACTTTTCACGCAATGATGCCCAGTGTTTCCAGATTGGATAATTTTATCGTCAACTGATAGAAAATTGGGGAACTTTTGTGGTAACATTTTTTTTCATTTTGACTTTTTTTCAGTAGACTAAAGCATAAACAGTTCTGTGATGTCAAAATTCTTAAGTATTGTGATCAAATGTGTTATTTGGAATTACTCATTACAAAATTATTCAAAAATAATTCCTATTGACAGCTTAACATGTTACTTTTGCTTTCCTGACTCCAAATTGATAAAGCTACCAGCATCTGCATTAATTAGTAAGTAAAACTGGAGGCAATAAATAATTTGAAGTGACCAAAAAAAATTTAAAACTGGCAAAATAGTTGGAGATTTTTTTTAATCATTTTCCAGACTGACTCCTTCTATATGTATACATACATACAGGAAATGAAACTGGCAGTAATGTATAGTACACTGCTGGCTATTAAATATACTACACCAAGAAGGAAAGCTAATAGTAGAATAATATTTATTGTACACATACAGTATAATGGGAGGAAGACATGATTAAATTGACAAGTAATTTTGAGGCACTGATCATGCAGAAATCGGTATCCAGAGCAGCTGCTCCTGGCAGCAGTAACAGCTGTAATCTGGCTGGGCATTGAATCAGAGTTTGGATGGCAGATACAGGTACAGAAGTCCATATGGCTTCAACTCTATGCCAACATTTATCTATCATACTGGCTGGTGAATGGTGGTGTGCCAGTTTCTCAGCAACTATTGACCAGACATTCTAAATTGGTGACTGAATGTGCTGGCCAGGGCAATAATCAATCACCCTCTGTATTCTGGAAGGTCAGGACATCATGGGCAACATGCAGTCATGCATTGTCCTGTTGAAATATAGCATGATGGTCTTGAAGATAGGACACAACAACTAGTCTTAACACATCAGAAATGTAATGGCAGAAGTTCAAATTACTAGCTAATGCAAACAAGAGGTGACCGGGATGTGTACCCAATGGCACCCCATACCATCATTCCAGATTCTGGACCCACATGATAATGATGAATGCAAACTGGCAATGATTGTTCCCCTTGGTGCTTCCACACTTGGATACGACAATCATGATGCTGTATGCAGAATCAGACTTCATCTGAAAAGACATGATGCCATTCCTGCATCCACATTCATCATTGAATGCATCATTGTAGGCATGCCTGTCTCTGCAGCAGCAGCAGCATCAAAGGAAGCTGCTGCAATAGTTGCAATGCTGGTAATCCATGATGCAGCAGACATCATTGCATTGTCTGTGCAGATGCTTATTGTTTTGAAAATGACACAAATTCCTGACTTTGGGTACGTGATGTGGCTGTATGATCCCACAAGGTCAGGCAGACAAGATGTCCGTCCTCTCAGCGTTAGTAACTGGGGCCATTGAGATCATGCATATCGTTCTGTACAGCCCTCCTGGACCCATCAATTCCATATTCTCATGACAGTCATGGGATCACAACTAATGCAAGCAGCAATAGCTTGGAATGATAAACTGCAGTCCCAGTAGGTTACAATTCTACCATGATCAAACTTGGACACATTCTGGTGGGTATTCTTCCTTCTTACATGAGGCATAACAACCTTTATACAAGCAACTAACTTGCAAATGCAGTTTCCATTTGAGAAACCAGCTTTACGATCTTCCCTTTAATGCATACTGTAAGTGGCCTTATTCCTACCTGCTTTGCGAAGCATGCATTGAAATGCTAATAATTTGCATATCCAAGCATGTTGTACCTTTCATGCAAATTTCACATTTGTTGTGTGCCACCTTCATAGTATAGCAATTTTAATGGCCAGCAATGTATTTCAACATGTGCAGGCATAATACATCGGTCTAAATTTTTACACTTATTTTCCTCACTCTAAATATAAACTAATGCTTTGTTTTTACAATAATACTTAATGTACAACATTTTAATTTACAAGTGAATGTTTGACAAAATCAGAAGTTCTACGTAATGAACTAATTTTATCTAAATATGTAAATTAAAATATTATAGAAGCATACATTTGTCACCAGTCGCTTTATATAGCTAAACTTTAACTCTATAATGCTAAAGTTAGTGCTATTATATTGTTATTACAGCACTAATTTTAGTGCTAGAATATTCAAGCTTTATTACTTTTCTAGGTAAAGTTAGCAAGAATCATTATAGAAGCATACTTTTTTCATTAATTACTTTATAGTGTTAAAGTTGGCAATCGAACTAGAACAAGAAATAGATCTACAAAATTATATTATTATAAAATATAGATTAATATATATATATATTATAAACAATTTATCAAGCAGTAACGGAAGCAAACGTTCATAAAGCAAAGAACTAACTCATCAAAACAATATTAAATTTAATAAAACAGAAAAAAAACATGGAGTAAATAAGCTAAACTTTTTACCCTTTGTCTGAATTGTTTGAACCAGTTTTAAAACCTATAAATCAATGACAACTCGAAATAAATTATATAATTTTTCCAACTTGTTTTCCGTCCGAGACAGACAAATCAAGTGCTGCTAACTCCAATTCGAGAACACTAAATATCGAAATCCCTACTAATTGACACCGAGACATCGACGACACTAATGTAATAAAGCTTTTCGTCAGTTCAATGTTTCAGCCGGGGGGAAGGAGAATCGGGGGGAACAGAGAACGTGTCTGATATGGAGTTTTTAACAGCGTTACACAGCGTGAAAAATTACCTGACAAACAGACGCCATCCTTAACTCAATTCTTGCTTTTGTCAGTTAAAGAGAAAAGCAGTGTTACTTTTAAGATAGCCTCCCGACCATTTAAGACTTCAGACGAGTAATGGCCGTGTTACTAAATGACAACTCACACTAAACTGAGTAATAGGAAAAAAACAGATTAGTGGAGCATTTATAGAATTTACTTCAACTTGATTGGGACAAGTTTGGGTGACAAGAAGCGGAGTTTTGTGGTACATTATATAAAAGTATTACGCTGAGAAAACACTTCCATTAACAGGTTTGTCTCGCTCCATCTTTATAAAGCTCCCTCTCTGTCCTCTCCCTTAAAATATTGCTACAGAAGTTTTTTTTTTTTTTTTTAATGTTGCGACGTAGCGAGAAGGCACTCTTAGCAAAATAGGCCTTAATTATAAAGAACACGCGTACTGGAAGGGGGCGAAAAAAAGGAAGAGTAAGGCAAGAGTTTATCCTTTACCGTGTAATTAATTTAATATACGTAATCAATAAAAGGCAGCGGCGGAATAAACTCTTGAAGGGAAGCTTAAACCGAGTAATTTGCGCTGAAAATATTTTTCGAGAAAAGTTGTAACGGCGATAATCGCGTAATATTTACAAATTACAAAGACAGATTGAGAGCATTTATTGGACGAAAATCGTCCACGTCACCAAACAATATACTGGTTGCCAGGGAGACGTCGAAAGTTATGACGTAATATTGTCTGGTAGCACTTCTATCAGAAGTCTAGAATGACTATTCTGCTGTGTCAAGAGGTCAATGAGGCGTAGCTGCTACTTCTTACGCTCAATTAGAAGAGACAGTTCGACCCTTGGCTGCACAACTCGCTGGTTAATGTTTCTCTTTCTAATTGCNATAATAATAATAATAATAAAAATCAATCAATATATAGTTTATGTTTTTAGCAAATGAAATAAATATACTTTTAATTTAAACTTTAAATTATTTAATCTTGATTTAATAATTTTTAAATTTTAAATATTTAAACAAGCAGAAATATACTAGAAGCATTTATGATTTACTCATATTGTTAGTAGTATAGCCCACAAGCGAAATTTTAATACTGTAAATACTATGAAGGCAATTTAAATCGTGCGAGTGTTGATCCATACACAAGTTTCGAAAAGTTTTATATATATATTATTATTAAAAAGTAAAAATAAATCAAATATATTAAAATAAGTTGGTTAAAAATGGCAAAATTGAAGAGTTTTTAGTAAAATTTGAATAAAAGCAAAAGATCGATTGCGACTTCCTTAAAAGCCCATATTCCACGTGTTCAAAGAGGCTTTTGAACTCAACAGTCAAAACAAGTTGAGAAATCTTTTAACAGTTGTTAGGCTTAAGAATAAAAAAGGAATAATATGCTAAATAAGTAACTAATAACTTCTTTAAATTAAAAACAATCATAATTGATTAATTAATGGAGAAAATTAAAATTTATCATAAGAAAATGATAAAATAAGTAAAATTTTCTTCTCTGTGTAAAAATTTTCAATTATCTAAAATTACACCATTAGGCCTAACATAGGTCGTTAAGCCTAACGTCAATACAGCAGACGACATTGTCATCAAACCTATTTCCCGATTTTTACAAAATTATTTACGTCTTTTCCACCCCCGCAACGGTAACTTATCGTATTACTGCAGGTTCTATAATAGGTATAGCATATGTTTCGTTACTATATCCATGTTTTTTCTTAACAAACAACAGAACAAAAAGCGATTCGCACCTTTTCAATTATGCAAATCAGATCATAAGTTGTTGGAATAAAAGACTATTCATTCTTTTGTTGCAAATTTCCGTCACTAGATGTCATGACTTATATACTGTCAATATTGACCACTAGATGGCACTTTGCGGTACTGTCATTGAAGGTGACCTCACGTGTTCACGTGCTGCATCCAAAACACATGACGAAATCTCCTTTGACGTCACACTACGGTGTTATTATATGCGGTTTTGCTAAAAACATTCGACTGACGAAATAAATAAATATTGACACGCATATTTAGTGATATTCTCCTATATATAAGTTATCTTACTTCTAATTTTTGTAAAGAGTTTTATTCTAGTTTGCTTAATTTATAACAGAATAACCTTTTAACCTTTGATAAGAATTAAAAAATGGCTAAATTCTCCCAATACCGAAACCTGCAGAGGTGGAGCTTATTGTGAAATTTACTTTATCATTGGTGAATTTGAGTTGACTGATGTCAGATCATGTGATTGTGACGGACGGATCGTGGTTAAGACCAAAACAAACGGGAACAAAAATACCAACTTAAAAGTGTGTGTTTGTTACTTATCTTTTACGTTATTCTTCAAACAAAGAGAAAGGCTTAAAACTGTATCATGATCATACAAGACTGTGGTTAGAGATATAAGTGGCTTCATTACATTTGAATTAGTTGTTTACAAGGAGTTAAATAAGTGAGTACTATTGTAATAGGCCTAAGTTACGTACTGTCATTTACGTTCGCGTTATTCCTAATTTTTTCTTTTCAATATAAATTTTTTTATTGATAAACAGGCAAAGTTTTTTTTTTAATGAAAAGTTTTGTCTGATCCTTATAATAACATATGTATTAAATGATCAAAACAAAATGTTAATTATAAAGATTAGAACTTTATAAATCAGAAAAAAATTAAATTATTTTCCCCATTTTTAAAGACACTGAGTATTTTCAATTTAAAAATTATTTGTAAATTTAAATTATAAATATTGATTAATAATGGCTGATTTCAAATAAAATGTCAACAATAAAGTATTATAAATTCTTAATTCCTAAAGTTTTATCAGCAGATTTTTATTTATATCTAAATACAAATGTATATGTTTATGTTTACTTGCTTGTATGTTTCTTCTGTTTGTGATGCAAGTATATCAAAACAGATTCCAAGAAGTATTTTAAACTAATTCTTTACTAAATATGTTTAAATATCAAGAAAGCGATTTCTTTTCAATTTAACTCTATGATAAATATTAACAAAGAATTGACTGTTTTAATTTTTTTTTTTTTTGAAGTTTTAATTATTCTTTATTCCTTATTTATGATAGAATACTTTTACCATTTAGTTTACTTAAGTTGTTGATGAAAGTAATGATTGAATAATAATTGAAACTTTTAAACAGATAATATATTATAAATAAGTTTTTCAATATATGACATTGTTTTTTTATTCTAATTATTATCAAAATAATGTTTTTGTATGGATATTGGAGTCTGATTTAATTATTAGCATATAAAAGTATTTTTAATAATGATTTTATGAGTAGTTTTTATAAATTACACCTTAATTATGTATCTTTAATTGACTATTTGCTTACTATTATATAGTGTTAAAAATGATAAAAGTGTAAACATAAATGCTGGATAAACTTCAGCATGATCATAAATTTTATATTTGTGATGAAGGTTAAAATCTAATAAATATTTATAATTAAAAGATAGAATTATATGATAACTATTTACACTGATGAATCCATATTGAATTGACTTTAAATGATTTTTTTATTTTAACTCAAGAATTTTTCAACTAAATTTAAATTTAGTTTTTATAAATTTATATTTTTAAAAATTAATTAAAACAAGACCATATATTTTAACTTTCAAATTGTTTAATTAAAAATATTTAAACATAAATCAGAATAATTTTAATATTAGTAATATTTTAAATTTTTGTAGATGTAAAGATATATATGTAAATGTATAAATAAAACTATTATATTCAGTATATTCTAATAATAGATAATTTTTATTTTTTTAATAGTCAACCTTGTTCTTTTTTTATGTGGAAAGTCATCTCATTAAAAAGACAAACATGTTGATCATTAAAATTATTATTTTTGTTTTTATGTAAATGTTGGATTATCTAAGACTTTTAATACAGTACTTATTTCATAATTAATAAATAATTACATATAAGACAAAGATAAAATAGGATATTCATATAATATGTTAATAGGAATTTGATATCTACATTCATTAGATAATTATTGAAAAATTGAAGTTGTCTCTTTGCTAGATATGTAATAAGATAGAAAGTTCCATAAAAAATTTTCTGCAGCTGTTTACTTAAAGTCTATATCTTCAAAATTAATTTAAAGTAGAAGTACTATACTTTCTTAATTTATGCCATCATTTTCAGTAGGGTAATCATTTAGGGCAGTGGTTCCCAAAGTGGGCACTACTTCCCCTGGGGTGGTGATTAAATGTATGGAGGGGTGAAAAAAATCAAGATGGCAGGGGGCTCTGGAGTTAGGGTCCTGACTAAATAGCGACCATAGGGTTGGGGTCACTGACAACCTTTCCTATTTCTCCATTAAAATGGGTAAAAAGAAACATTGTATTTAATGGTTTTCAGATATGGAGAACAATGTACAGTAAGGACAAAGTGTTAGATTCGTAGAAAAGTTTTTCTAAGAATATTTCCAAGCCTTTCTGACACAAGGGAAAACTGGTTAGAAGCATTGGATGTAAGTTTATGGAACCCAAGGGGGAAAGTTTGGGAGTTACTAATTTAGGGCTATCACCTAGTGTTGCCATTTTTTCAAAATTGCTGACCCGGACGGCAAGTCAGATTTGTTCGAACAGAAGTTCCTGACACATGCGCAATGTAATTTTACAATGTGAAGAATAACATGCATGCTGGTTCTAAATCAGTTACAGTTAGGAACTAGAGACTTGCATAGGAGTAACGTAAGTAACCCTAAATTAAGAAAGAATAGGTACAGATAACTTAGCTCTATTAGATATTGGAGATGTGTATGATATTACATGCAATAAAAAAGGTCAAGGTTGACAACAGCGTAAACAGACTAATATGACAGAATTGTAGATGAGTTTCAGTAAGTGTGAGTTCTTTTGCTGTTAAAATAGTGTAAATTTGTAAAAATATTTGCAAGAATTTTGTTTCATTGTAATTTCACAATTTCTATGAAATTCCCGGACAAAATTAATAGTTCACCTGGACAGTGAGTCAATTTCCAGACTGTCCAGGTAAAAACCGGACGGGTGGTAACCAGTGCCGGCCCGAGGCAAGTTTTAGGATGGAGCGAGATCCTATTATGGCGCCCCCTTGGTCAGTAGCGTAGCGAACATAACTGGTGCTCGGGGCACGACACTTTATTGGCACCCCTCCAGAAACACATATAGTTTGTCTTGGAGATCATTTGGGCACCCCTCTGCGAGTGGCACCCGGTGCTTGATACACCGCCTTGCACCCCCTCGCTACGCCACTGCCCTTGGTTGCCCCAAATTTATACCCTTTAATTTTCTTTACCACTGAGGCGCCCCCAAAGACTTAGCGCCTGGAGCGGCTGCTCCTTTCGCCCTATGGTAGGGCCAGCTCTGGTGGTAACACTACTACCACCTGCAGTAAATTCTGTCATGGCATGAGATCTTTGTACTCTTGATTGTAGCACATAACAATTGCAATTCAATAAAATAACAATGCAGAATATGTAAACTTACAATGCTACATATTCTATCTTTTTCTCATGGTTTCAATGACTGGACCAATTCCAATTCATTTCAAATAAGCCATTTCAGCTATTTTTGACAATGTGATGATTTTCTTGCTTTGGTTTTATCACCCTGCTTTCTAGAAATCAGAGCATAATAAGAAATTTAATACTTTCAATTTTGCAACAATTAAAATTTATATTTATTACATAGCAATATCATTTAGTAATTGTGACCCAAACATTTATTTGGTAATTTTATCAATATTTTTTAAATTATTAAAAATAAAATTATAGAATTCATTACTGGCAATACTAGTTGTTAAATCTAAAAGAAAACATTCCCCTGAGTGCAAGAAAACAATTTGTTAGTCATTTGACCCACTACTGACAGATAAGGGAGTTTTTGAAAACAAAGTAATAAAATGATTAGTAGTTTGTTGTCCTTCACAGTGAGAGACCAGCAGAATCTATTATTTCACAGGAGAAAATAAACAAAGCTTTACTACCCTAAAGTTGAAAGATAATACAATCCAGTGAAATTTAAGAAATCTGATGTCAATAAGTGAAAGTTCAAATGATTTATAGTGAATTGAAATTTGATAAGTTAGTTTTTTGTATTTACCGATCAAATTACAGAAAATATAAATAAAAATCTTATTTTTCAAACCTACAAATATTTTATACTATTAGATAGTAGAGAAAGTGTAGAAATCCGAGATATATAATCATAGTAAAGTATATATATCTGTAAAAATATAAAAATTGCGTTAATTTCATTATGTATCCCATGAATACACATGTGCCAAGTGATGTCACAATACTCTATTCACCCAAAGGGCTGTTAAATAAGTAAACAGACATTATTTAAGAATTCACNGCAGTCTGTCTAATCATATACATAATGCACTCATTGACATAAAAATTAGTGTATTAAAAAGGAGTTGTCAAAATCAAAATTGTGTGTGTGTGTGTGTAATGGTGATACATAAGAACCTCGAAAATTACAGAAAATATAAATAAAAATCTTATTTTTCAAACCTACAAATATTTTATACTATTAGATAGTAGAGAAAGTGTAGAAATCCGAGATATATAATCATAGTAAAGTATATATATCTGTAAAAATATAAAAATTGCGTTAATTTCATTATGTATCCCATGAATACACATGTGCCAAGTGATGTCACAATACTCTATTCACCCAAAGGGCTGTTAAATAAGTAAACAGACATTATTTAAGAATTCACAAAACAATTTCACTAATGAAAACAGAATAATAATTTCTTTTCTAAAAAAAATTTGCATAGTTTTCTATCTCAATAAATTACTATAAATAGTTTAAACAAATATTTTTCATTAAAGATGTTCATCACTTATATTGCAACTAGTCACAGAGTTCTCAAGAAATGCTTTATTAGAGCAAATACTAAATGCAATATGCTAAATTTATTTTAAACATTTGAGTTTATATTGCTATAAACTTTATAAAACAAAAACTATTTAAATATAACTAATATAACAAAAGAGCTTCTTGAATGAAATAAAGCATTTTATAGAACTACTAGTAACTAGTCATTGTGGAAACAATTATAAATAAATCTTATATCTTATGAACTTTTTCCATTGGATTCTTTAGAGGTTTGATAATTTTTATTACAGTATTTGTTTTTCTAAAATTAAAAGTAAATATAATTTATTATGATCAGTTTATTTTATTTATATTTTTGTTTAGATTACAATGTTTTTAACTTTGTCATAATTTCAGATATTAAAGTAAATAAAATAAAATTCAAATAAAATAATTAACACTGTCAAAACAAGGTATTATTTATTTCCTGTTTTTTTTTTAATTATTGGCCTGTGTCATCATTGTGTAAGTAAAATTCAAAACAGAAGAATAAAGAAAATTCAATAAATGATTATATGTTTTATAAAGTTTATAGTGGACTGGACATAATGTTTA